AAACCTCTTTACTGTCCATTAGTGCTTCCAAAATATATACCAAATCTATAAGCTCCCAATGTACCTAAACTGCTCTGAAGCTCTGCTTCTAAGCCAAGTCCCTCTTACTAAGCTGAATAACAAGTACATATAAATATTTATTCTATTTATATAGCCACCCCTCACAAGCCAGTTGAAACACGATATAAAAACAATGAATTTATTTATGCAATTTAAAATTTGTATAGCCACATCATATCTTTCTTGATTTCTCCAGGGACTCAAAATCTGAGGTAGCCATTTCTTCTGGCATCAGATAATCAACTAATAAAAACTGGCCTTGGGACCATCACATTACATGAAAACTTTAGTGGCCTGACCAAGTCCTGTAGTTTCTAAGGATTTTTTTTCCTGATAGCATCAAAGTAAGATCTAACTCTTGTATTTCAAGAGCTAATAAATTGCCTCAGACTGTGTTCTATAAATCTGAGTATAGAATCCTTTCCCTTTTCTAATTAAAAACCTAATTCAGCCACCAATCAACTGAATGCAGCCAACAACTGAAAGCCCTGTGCTGAGTTACTGGCGCCACTAAGAGGAAAATATCCAGTAATATGTGGCACTGTGATTTAGCATCTTGTAAATGGACCATGCCAGCATTGTCCTAATGCACCTAAAGGCCAAACATAAAACTGTAAGCTTAAAATGGCACATAAAATAATAATTATCCAAGAATACTGCTTTATCCTAATATAGGTGACAGAATAACCACCAGGAAGGCCTTTCCCTCATCTTCGGTAGAGGAAGACAGGGTTGTAGGAGTTGCTGTTGTCTGAGGGGCCTATATTTTAGATTTCTGGCTTTTCTTTTCTTTTTTAAAATTCCATTTCTTCTTTCCGTAGTCTATATACTGTCCTTTTTTATGACATTCCCAAATATCTTGTGGTGGTAAACTGCTAATTAATGCTATGCAGTTAACGTTACAGATAGCTTGTAACAGTGTTTATGGATTTATTTTAAAATGTGTACCGTCATAATATATATTTTCCTAAGGAAGCTTACAACAAAAACCACATAGTAAAATTCTACCCCACTACCCCATATACAATTAAATAAATTAATCTAAACTTCTTGGCCCCAATGTAGCAGAACCCCTAGTACAGTTTTCTGACTAATGAAGGCATGTCCAAGGGCAAAAATCATTATCAGTAAACAGTTGTTACTATGTAGGAGTATCTGTCCACTTTTATCTTCCCAGATATTTGCACTCATTCGTAGCTGTATAAGTATATAAATCAGGGGAGAGAATTCTCCCTCTCCCTCTCTCTTCCCAGCATCAACATAGGTAAGCATGAGAAGTGAAATGGGAGAGAACCAGGACAACAAAGATGATTAGGGGATTGGGGCCTAAACCAATGATTGAGGGAACTGAGTATGGCTAGTTTAATGAAGAGACAGAGTAGGGGTGATATGGTAGCAGTGTTTTAGTACTTGAGAGGCTCTCACAAAGAAAAGGGGGTTCACCTATTCTCCAGGGCACCCGAGGGTAGGACAAGAAGTAACAGGTGAAGATTATCAGAGAGACAACCAACCTAAAACTAAGGAGAATTTTCCTGACAGTGAGAACAATCAGTGGAACACCTTACCTTCAGAAGTTGTGGGTGCTCCATCACTGGAGGTTTTCAGGAAGGTTTGGCTGGAATGGTATAGGGACTCCTGCTTGAGCAGGGGGTTGGATTAGAAGACTTTCAAGGTCCCATTACAGCTCTATTACTTTATTGTTCTATGTCCTGTTTTAAATATCCCTGGTGGTTACATTCCCCTTTTACTCTGGTAGAATGAAACACATAGGAGAAGCCATCCCCTACTATACATCCTAGTGCACTGCTGCCACTCACATCATTTCTTCCTTGGAAGATTAGTGTTGGGATTCTAAATAAATTCAAAAGTAGAGTTTATATGACTTTTCCTGTGTTGGCAATTATGTTAAGTCTTGCCTTAATTTGTTTTCCTTCCTTTCTATCAACTGAGTGCTTACATTGCCTCTAATCTATATACAAGTAGTTTTTAAAGATGAGAATTAAATAGCCAGTTTATTCATAAAGGAAGACTTAGATACACATGACATTGGTAAAACTGCTTCTTTAAACTCTTGATATAATTCAGTCAGAGTTAAGAATGAGTATTCAGGGCTTGAGCAAAAAGGGCACTTTTTATTCAAGCTTAATTTTACACATTTCTCTTTTTCCAGCTCACTTTCTTCCTTTTTTTGTCTTGCCTTCCATATAAGAAAAAAACAAGCAGGAAAATGTGATTTCTAACAAGCCCTTTAGTTTTAAATCAGCATATCATTGTATGTCATTGTAGTATTTAAGAAGATAATAAAGCCATACTGACTAGTTCAGTGGTTCTCAACCTGTGGGTCGGGACCCCATTTGGGGTCGAACGACCATTTCATGGGGGTCACCAAACAAGGCTGTCCACCATTTTTTCCCCCTTTTCTTTGGCCACGCCCCTGGCACCCGGTGATGTATAAGTGGTTGGGGGTCACCACAACATGGGGAACTGTATTATGGGGTCGCGGCATTAGAAAGGTTGAGAACACTGGACTAGTTTATATGATCTCATTTAATACATTTGCATGAAAGTAAAATTCATTATTTGAAGCATTTTTCCTTGCTTTTCATGTGAAAAAGTCTTCCAACAAAAGATCAATGACAAAACTTTATAATCTAAAATAAAAAGTCACTTGACTCACATACATATCCCTGTATTTTTATAGCTTTTTATGATAACAGTTCAGAACTGTTTGTTACTGCCTATCTTTTTTTTTTTTAAATAACTCTGAGTCTATTCTATAGCTATGGTATTTCTTGGTAGTTTCCCATCCAAATATTAACCAAATCCCACCCAGCTTAGTTGTTTGAGATCAGCAAAGTTTGACTAGATGCTGCCATCTAGCTAGGATAAAATAAATAATTTTTACAAGGATATGAGATTAGGAAATCGGAGAAAAAACATACTTCAGTTTATTTCTTAATTGCAAAGTTCTGTCAGGAAAGTGGGAAGCAAGCTTGATGCATGGGGCTAGGTTGCCTTTCCATAATAGAGAGTGGGGGGGTCTCAATCTTTCAATAGATGAAGCATAAGCCATCCTTCAGTTCTAAAGTCTTATGGCAATATGAAATGTGAAGCAGAATACTCATTCTGGGAGAGAACTTTGAAACAAGTTCCGTGACCTTGGTCCTTCCTGACAGATATATGGGGCCAGGCTGAAATTTTAGTGAGCTATTGGAAAAAATAGTATTTAAACACTAAGTATGTACTCATTACATGCCTACTTTTAATGTAGGAAATGAGTAAAAGAAGTTATAGTAATGACTCACTTGAAAAAAAGCTTACAGAATTAGCAGATCTCATTTCAAAGTAAATAATTTTAGGATGAACGTTGGCGGATTTAAAAATCAAACATAGAAGTATAATGTATCTTTAGTGCTTCTCAGTTTTTCCTACAAATAACAGATATTAAAGTCATCTTAGGAACAGCTACATGGTACTTCAAAGAGGTTCTGATTCTGCTCTTTGCAAGTCTTCTTCCACTCTCCTTTTTTTGGCATTATTGGTACTTCTGATTTATCAAACATAATCCAAATAATTTATTAAGTACACATTAATAAACATCTTACAGCATAATAAAAGCTTCAGAAGTCCATTCCAGGAGTAATACAATCTTAATAAACCCACTTCAGCAGGGATAATAAACTCAGACTGAAGACTCATTGCTGGTAAATGGACCCAGAATTATGTCAGGTGAGTCAGGGAAGAGAAAAGACAAAAGACATAAAGATGTAAAATTGGAGGAATATTTTGATGGCGCAGATCTCACAGTGAAGTTAATATTCATTCTAAAATACTCTGTGGGACACAATGGACAAACATTAGCTTTTTTTCAGATTGGGAAAAAGTCTTCCATGGATGTTTGGATCCCAGCACCAAAATTCCTGAATTTCCCAGGCTTATCATAGGTATTCTGATGGTTCTGGATTCCTAGCTATAAGCAATTCTTTTCCTTGAACATGCATGCTCAGTCTTCCTCAACTGCTTCCAAGTAGTGGCTTCCATGTGTGGGATAAACTATCTGAGCAAATACTCTAAAAGAGATACTGTATCAGTTTACACAAAGGATTACTCATTTGAGGCCCATCAGTTTTCAAGGCCTGAGTAAAAGATGGCAGGTGAAGAAGCACAACTTTTAAAATTGTACTAGTGTCAAAGCTTGAACTGCCCCAGAGTTTTATTTTCACTGAGACTTTCAAAAGAGCAGGCTGGTCATACATAATAAAGAGTGTCTCTTTAACAGAGATTTCTTTGACTGATTATTTTTGCTATAAATGCTGCTTTATATAAAGGTGAAGTAGAAATAAAAAAGTTCAAGATTATTTCCTCAGTGGACCAACTGTATGTATATAATGGTTTCAAGTAGAGACACTCTAATCTGCTTGTAATCACCAAGTATCATTTGCACTGAGTTAAAATATATATTTATTAAATCCTATTGAAACCAAGGGAAGAAATAATTTGCTTTTTTTTTTTTTTAACCGGACATATCACCTTCTCACTGAGCTGTTAAACCTGAGCCTGCTGTACTAGCCTGTCAGACTAGCGGCGGAACACTTCTCCGAATAAAGCATTTTTAACAAAAAGAAAAACAGCCGGCATCGATACAGTAATGTTGACAAACTAGCACAGCAGGCGAAAAGCTAGGCGGGGGCCTACAGTTTCCACGTGCAGGGGCTTGTCTCGTATGAAAGGGAGCAATCTGCAGTCTGAGATGGCACAGCCCCCGCGGTTCTTTCCCTCCGTGAGAACTAGACTTATGCCACGAGTCACCCCAACAGGCTTGGGGACTTTGATTTTTCCTACGAGAAACCCCGGCGAGCGCCCGGTTGCTGAGGTAGAGGCTGGCTGGTTGCCTCGCCGAGGCCCGTCCCTTCACCCCTTTCTTTGCTCCTTCTTTGCAGCTGGGGACAGAAAACAGGCCGCCAGTTCCGGGAGCAAAGCTGCAACAGACGCCCTCTCCGGCATCCACGGACTCTCTGTTCCTGCCTCCTCGTCCTAGGAAGAGAAAGGCGGGAAAACAGCATCGAAGGCGGGAAGATTTCGGAAGCGATTCTCCTTTCTCTCAGAGGCCAGGTTTAAATCGGGAAAGGCGCGCCGATGGGGCGGGCTCCATTGTTTGCCCGCATTTTCTCACGGAGCCTTCCTGCCCAAACCGTCGCGGAGGAACTGGGCCCGCGAGTTGTCTTCTCTGCGCAGGCGGGGGAAGCGCAAAAACGAACCCATCTGTTTTCCTCTCGCTGTTGAGAAATTGAGGAAGGAACATGTTTTTTTGATTTACAGAGCCGAGAGTGACCCAAGGAAACCGCGCGCGGTTCAAGAGGTTTTGATGGTGGAGTGAGGTGGACGGGCTCGTTTAGGTGGTAGACGGTATTTCTGTCTAGGCAAAGGGCAGAACGAGACAAAAGGTAGATTTTAAGCAACAGCCTTCCCGTGGAGCGGTGCTTTCTGCCTGAAACGTACTTCGCCTCTAGAAAGGGGGTGATTTGGATATATAGCTGTTGCTGCGTTTTTGACTTCACTCACAGCAAAGTGCATTTTGCGTTTCGAGACAATTACCACTGAAACACTTTCTTCTCTTAGTTACAAAAAAAAAAAAAAATGAACATTTTTTTAAAAAGAGCCAGCTAGATATTTTCATTCTAAGAGTTTTTCTCTTAAATGAAAAGAGCTACTATCCCATCTCATTGCACTCTTCCTATTTAAAAAAGGCCTTCCGAGATCAAATTCTACACAACTGAATCAAGGTTCGACAGATGATCAATATAGTTTTTGAACAATTATTCAGATTCCTTCTAATTTAATTGTGAAGAGTTTTAGAACTGACATATGACAAGGTTCAGTAACTGGCTGTATCTCATGTTAAACAAACAAATTAACCTGAGCTGGCAAATGAAAAGAAGGACGTTGCTCAGACTATTAGCATAGCCTTTCCCTTCTCTTCATATTTCCAAAATGTTTTCCTTGAACAGGTTTCACAAGACTTCAGCCTGATGTTCCACTCCACTAAAGTCCTGTTTTGCCAGCATAGACATGCTGCTAACTACTAATGCAAAATGGCAACTCAGTAACAATCTTTTCTGATTTTATATTTTTGTAACAAACCAATAAAATATGAATAACAATCTTCCTTGTGTTCTCTGTGTGTGTTTGTGTGTTTTGGGGGATGATGCCTCCTTGAATGTTGCCTCTAAATGTCTTTCTGCAGCCAAATCCTAACCATGTTTACTCAGCACCGCAGTAAACTCGGATGACTTCAGTAGGATTTCCAAATAGCTGGAACATAGTCAAATATTTTATATCTGCCAGAACTTCAAATTTTATGAGAATTTGAAGCATAGCATTTGTATAGATATATTTTAAATATATTTGAAATATAACTACTTATTTTAAAAAGCTGTTTAAAAATCAGTTGTAAATATATACTAAGAATTGGTCTTCACAGATAAAAACAGTAAAGTCAAGTTTATTTTTTTCCCCATTTTATACCGATATGATAGAAGAGCCAGACACCTGGGTTTTAATTTTTTGCATATTCATGAATTTCATTGAATCAGAGTTAGTCACTATCATCTTTCCACCAAACTTATTTTAAAAGGAAGTTGTAAATTTGAGTCAGGCCTCTGTAAATAAGAAAATGTGTATAATCTAAAATTCCTCAGGGGAGCAATGGAATAAACTTGTAATAGAGATTTTATTTATTGGGTAAGAAATGGGTATCACCCAGCGAGTGAGCCCATAGAAAATTTGAAAGAATAACAATCTAATAACATAATAACAATCTCAAAATTTGCAGAGCAGAATTTAGATGTTAAATTTGTTCTAACTCTAGAACCATGATGTTTTGGTTCAATAAGTATTCTGACAATTCTTGAAGGTTGGATGAGTTCTTTGATATGTTTGTGGATATTTTTCATATTCAGGACCAGTAAATGTTTTGTGACACACTATTTTCTTATGACTACATCTGGATTTGCAACCAAGGAACCAATCTGTTAATTAAAATTAACTTGCATGTAATGGTTTCATGAAGATGCAATTTGGGATCTATAGAAACAATTGTATGTATGCATGCATGCCTGCATTCTAACTACTTTTCTTAGTTACTGGTCTACATTTAATTATTGAATTTTAGAAAAAAGAGTTGAGATTTCCAATCAAGCTTGAAAGGCAGAATATTCCTGCTGAGTGTTGAATGCACTCATGCCTTCTTTTAAGGCATTCTCTTCCATCTCCCTTAATCCCTGTAACCAGCAAGCAAAACCTGGAATGATGTGAGCACCCCCACCCAATTTGTTTCGTGAGAGATATTTCTGGCAGATGGGGACAGTTTTGGTTTTTCTATTTTTAAACTTTTTCAAATCTTGGAGTTTTCCTGAACATGCTGATACCTCCCCTGGCTACTCAGTTGTTCTATGTACACTGTCTTCATAACTCAGTTCCTAAGTTTAGTGTCTGAATGTATGAGAATTATGAGAATTCCTTTTAGTGTTGTAATGTTACTATAACTACTATAACATACAAATTGTATATAATTTTATTAATTCTGGGTGTCTGAAGGAAGATGGAAAAGGAGTGGAATTTCATGGGGTTTATAGATTTGATTCATTTTTATGTATTTATGATAGCTCATCATAGATTTCAGGATATCCAGACTCTGGTACAGTATATTAACTAAAAACTATTTTTACTCCATTTTATCATCCATTGGTAATGACAAGATAGTTCAGACACAAAATAAATAACTGAATATTTAAAATATTAGTTAAGAGAAACATACTATTTTTCCATTCCCAATAGTGTTGTGAAATTCTTTCATCAGTGTGAAATTTTATCAGTTAAATTGGCTGCCTTTCCTTTCCATAGATTGCCAAACCTATGTGCAACTTTCTTGTTCCCTTGTGGCTAAAGGTCCATGGGGATTTCAGATTAGTCTATATAAACTGATATAAACAAATGTTTTTAATATTTTTAACAGTAAAGGTATGCAAGGAGTAACAGAAACACAATACCCACAAATAATAAATATAGAGAAAAAACACTGGTGCATTTTTCCAATATTTGATTTGTTTGTTGAATAACTCTTATTTTGTGTCTGTGTGTATGCAGGATGTATATTGCATCCTGTTTGCCTATTGGTTATGGTGGATGTTTTGTGATTTCCAGCTAGCAACACCATCTAAAGTCTACCTAAAGTCAATTGGACTGAAAAATTGAACAAACAAACGAAGCATATGCCTAATAGATACAAGATAGTAAAGAAATGCAGTGTTAAAATATCAGGTAAAAATATCTTTTATTTTAGTTAGATTTTTCCAGCAATCAAGTGCAGTGCTAACTGATACCATATGAATTTGAAGAGGATTTTTACTAGATAAGTGCTCTGTGCATGAGCCAACCTGGAGGCAATATAATTTCCACAGTCATATTAATTTCATAATTTTGGATATAATTCTCTTTATCTTTTTGGAAGAGAGTTTTAACAATCTATGCTATGGAATGTGCTATGATTCTTTTCTGATATATTCTTCTGAATTGTTAAATTTCTTCATAAGTGATATATATACAAGCATCTTTAGTACATCAAAAAATGATAGTAGATGTAAGAACCTAGTAAGAGTAACTATACAGTAGTTACAGAAACAATAGTAGCCACAAATATATCCTACCTTCCCCTAAGTTAGCAGCTTCTAGATGTGTTTGATTTTTATTTCTATAATTCTCAACAAACATTCCTTTGAAACTGAAGTCTCAACACATCTGGAAGGCACCAGCTTTTGAGGCAGAATAAGTCTTATGTGAAGATAGCAGTGCTCTTTCGACTTAACTGGACCAAAAGAACAGAAAAATGGTGCAGTAGCAGCAAGTCTGCATATCTTCTTCTCAAGTTCAGCTGAAATTGCTCGAAATTATTACAAGGTAACAGAAGGTTGAACTCATTCCTATTCCATGATGTCTACTACAACATTTGTATTTTGTCAACAACAACTTATCAGAAGATTCAGGCAATCTTGGTGTGTCTGCAATATATAAACTGTGTTTATGTTTCCTGTGAAAGATTATAGAGTGTAAATGTAGTAAGCATTACATAAAATGGTAGTTTAAAACAGAGGTCCCCAACCCCCGGTCCATGGACCAGTACTGGGCCGCGGCATGCCAGCAACCGGTCCGCACAAACAAGCAAAGCCCCATCCGCAGGATACAGGCAGCACACAAAACCACGCACCCTCCAGTCTGTGGGAAAACCTCTCTCCATGGAACGGGTCCCTGGTGCCCAAAAGGTTGGGGACCTCTGGTTTAAAAGACTGCATGAGTAAAACACTACATTTTGTCTTCTTAGAAAGTAATAGCACTACGGAGCACTAAAAGCAAGATCAAATACAGGAAAAGATTGTTAGGAAAGAAGATGAAAATTTTAACTGAAGGAAAAAACTGCATTAAAAACAGTAATTGTTAGGGCAGAAGGATTGAAGGCAGTTTGAACCACGAGATTTTTTTTTTTAATGCCTGTAGTGAGTTTCTCTGGATATCTGGACAGAGAACAACTTTGGAGAACTTCTCTAGATTTAAAGGAAAATTCTCAAAACTGGAAGAGGTGAGTAATATGACTATCATGCACAGAATAAGGATGAAATACAGACACTAAGAGTGCTGTGTGTTGGCACAGCTTGATAACACGTGACCTATTTATACACAACTTTCTCAGTTGTTTTTGAATAAATGCCGATGTGCTATCAAGTCAGTGATCACATAGCCAGAACTTCTCCAGGATAATCTGTTCCTGTCCGGGTCCTTCAGATCTTCCAACAATATACACATCACTGCTAGAATTGAGACTATCCATCTTGCTGCTGGGTACACTATTCTCTTTCCTTCTACTTTCTCTTTCCTTCTACTTTCCAAGCATTACAGATTTCTCAAGAGAGGTAGGTTTTTGCATAACGTGCCTAAAATAAGATAACATGAATCTAGTCACTTAGGCTTTGGGTGACGATTCTAAATTGATTTTTCCTATGATCCATTTGTTTATTTTCTTGGCTATCTATTGGAGTCTTCAACAGCAGCATTTATTCAAAAGCACAAATACTCTTCCTATTCTACTGCTTGAAAGTACAGCTTTTCTTTCCATAGAGGAAACCAGTGCCTGCAAAATTCTGATCTTTATAGGTATAAATATATATCACAGCACCAGATGATCTTTTTCAAGGCTTTCATTGTTGCCAACTTCTATTTTGTGGCCTATTTTTTGATCACTGATTCCTTTTCTGTTGATAGCTGACCCTACAAAGTTATCCACCATTTTGATAACTTCGTTGTTAGTTTTAAGGCTGGTTGCTGTTGTCATTAGTATGATCTTCTTTATATTTAATCATAACCCCATTTTTTCCTTGACTTTTATTACTGAATTTCCAGAACATTTCCATTTTCAGCTATCACATTTGTTACCAGCATAACACAGATTTCTGATGTTTCTTCATCCAATTTTATAAATAACCTTCTCCCAATCCACCTCCCCATATATATTCAGCACATAGGCAGCATAAATTGTGTGTGTATGTGTGTCTTTGCACATGCGTATGGCCGTGCATCTCAATCTTTTACTGATTTCGAATCAGTCAGTTTCACAGTGTTCCACTGGATTGTGGCTTTCTATCCCATGTATAGATTTCTCATGAGGACAATGAGATGTTCCGGGATTCCCATTTTCTTAAAGACATTTCGTAGTTTGACATGATTGAGACACAGTAAGTCACCCAGTTTGGTTTCTTCTATTTTTTTTTTTTTTTGGGTAGTGTCAAGGGTGAAACTTTGGCAGCTATGTGTTTCTGCTTTTCAACTTGCTTTAGATTAAGGAGGGGAGGTGTTACTTTGAAGTGGGTTAGATGGAGAAACGAAACTTCTACAATTCAACTGAAGACTGAGAGAGCCTGAAGCCTTTTCAAGAACACCAGAACAGGTGTGGATCTGAAGCAGACGATCCCTATAACAAAGTGAATTTGTCTACATGGACTATGTAAGACGATGGGGGTTTGGCTGGGAAAATTAGTGTTTAAGTCTATGAATTAGTGTTGGAACCTCAGAGTTAGTTTTGCTTTGACATAATCATGCAGTGTATTCAATAAACAGTAA